TCATCTGCTGTTACTTACTTTCAAAAACATTGACAAATTCCTAATGCCATAGTATAAGAAAATTGTTATGTATCTTAGGGTATGCTTTAAAACATTAAAATAATTTTTAAATTTTGTATTTGTCCATTTCACATTTGATAACATGTCTAAAAGATAGTCTCTGTCTGTGTTACAGGTTATGAGCATTTCCAATTTTTACACCTATCATGAAGGAATTTGAGAATAATAAAAATAAACTAATATTTTTAAAATCAGACATAGTTTTATTCTTCAATCTAGATCTTTTTGCCTAGTCCAGATATATTTAGGTCAATTTTATCCATAGATGTTTAGTTCCGTGGTTTTCAGAGAGCTGCCAAATTCACTAGCAGGTTTTAACTGTGTTTTTTTTAAATATAGAGGCCTATTGTAAAGACTGAGTGAGAATGAAGGTATTATTTTATTTTAAATGAATGAAGATCATCTCATAAAATATAAAACATGAGTTTTTGATTAAATAATCCACATTTATGCAGAATGTGAATTCAAAAACTATGCATGGCTGGAATATTAGGCAAAACAATATTGATTTGTGGATATGTAGGAATCTGATAGCTGTCACAATTGTGTCTATTACAGATCGAAGTGCTTGTCTAACTTGAAACTTCATAGAAGTGTAACTCTATTGAGAGCAGAACCAAACAATTCCATGCAATAAGATTTAAAATTTAATTGCTAACTTCATTGCCCAGAAAAAGAGATGCAATTACTTACCATGTTGTGTTAAGCAATCAAACCTATCAAACCAATGCTTGCATAGGATAAGTTGCCAGAAATGAGGATTTGTTGTCTGGTGTGTAATCATTTCCATCAATAGCATGGGATATTGTAGACATCACCTTGGTCAATTATACCTATAGACTAGTACTTCTGACTGCTGTGATGGGTATTTTGGTAGCATGCATTTTCTATCACGATACCTGCCATATCAGTTAAATTCATTGCTAGCCATTGCTTGACACCTTTTTCCATCTTTGTGCTAAGTATCGCATTGAAATTCTGTCAATCATTCAGCAATGTTTTACAGGACAGATTATGCTCTGTCCATTGTTGTATTTGCCAAAGATATATCCTTGTTGAAGAAACACATAATATCCCTTTGGAGTTAAGAAAATATTATTCTGGCAAGTGGCAAATTATAGGTAGTTATTGCATAGTTTCAGAGCAAAGTGAGCAGTTACTTGCCCAGAGGGAACATGAAGTAGTCATGAAAGAATATGATCCTATGTAGCTTGAAAGAAATAAAAATGTAAGAATCCGTCTCAATTAGGGTGCTGTGATACCATACATCTATGTCTTCTATTTCTCAATTTTAAATTGAAGTTAAACAAGTAGAACATTTACAAATGAAGGTGTTAAAACCTAAATCCTATTACTAAAGAAGCAACTGTCATGTACTCACAAATAGCTGTGTTTAAACAACTAAAATGTTGTGTCAAGAAAGTAGAAATTATTTTAGAAGAGACAATTATTAGAAAAAGTCACACTAATGGAGCAAGGAAGGTAATGGCAGAACCATCTATTTGTAGAGGTTTCAGGCTATCTGTCTATCCATACAGTAGATATTTTTCTTCCTTTGTGGTAATAAAACAGTCAAAACATGCAATTTTCTAGACAAGTAAATGAATAGGTATAATGGATTGTGACATTTTAAAAATATAAATGAACACACAGAGTGTCCTATTTCCTAATAGTGTGTTCTCAACACACATGGATTCTGTCAAAAAGGAGAGTAAACAAAAATAACATCAGAACATCAGATAAAAACTAACAGAACTGTTTAGATATTGTCCATTGCACACCAGTCACATCCAAGCCATATGTACAGATGACTTATACGCAAGTTTTTGCAAGAATGGTTTGAGACGTATGAGGCAGAATATCTCTGAGAAGATAATTTCCATATATAATGCATCTTACCGTTTTCTATCGCTCTGCTACTCCTTCATGTTCATTTTATTGATTCTTTTAAATCAAATTTATCTGCTTTCATTTAACCATGCATCCAGTCTGATTGGTATTTTGCACTATTCAGCTTTTCATGCATTCCCGAGTTCTGTTCAACTTGCTCTTATTTTTTATAAAGGAGACAACAAGAGCTCCAACTGAGTCTCTGAAGCATTTCCTCAGGTAGAGAAAGAAGTTGATAAATTGTCTTGAATGTAAATTAGGAGAAACACAAAGAATAGAGGATGCATTTTTGTACCTTTTATATCCTACACAGTGCACATGGCTTAGCACATTCATAGTGTTCGTACATCTGATAGCAGGAATGGATCCGTGCGTGGGGGGAAGCAGCCCTGCAGTGGGGAGAGCCACAGCAAATAGAGGCTATTTGTCCACATGTTGTACTTAACCCGTCAATCCATTAAGAAGAATTTGGAGCCAAGAAAAATGCCAGGCTACATATTCCTGTATCACTGCAAAGGAAAACGAATTATGCATCTGATAAAGCTTGGGGAGGGGTGCACATTGATTTTTGGCTAGGAAACAGTTGAGACCAGTTTCTTCGAGTATGTGATGCCCTGCTCTTGGAGTCCTCATGGTAAAATAAATCGAGGTTAACGATAGGAAAGAGCCATGAAAGCCGTGGTTACACATCTTTCTGCCGACCCACCACATGTAACCATCCTGGAGCCCACAGAATGGGGAGACAGTGCCTGACTTATCCATGTATGTCTGGGCTTTCGTAAATAGCAGTCTTAGCACATCAGGATGCTAAAACCTTTCCCCAAATCCTTGCCACCTTTGTTTCTCACATCTTTCCCCCAAATCCCACTTCTCTCTGTTGCCCACACATGCTGTGTGCTTTCACACCCCCAGGCTTTGCTTTAGCTCCTCCATCCTACCCACGCCTCTATCTTCAAATCCTCCTGAAGCAGTTCTTAATCTGTTATACAGAAACCATCTCCTTCTCGTATGTCACAGTACCATTTCTCACTTTTGTTAAGGCCTCTTTTTTTTTTCTTTCTTTTTTTTTTTTTTTGTTTTTTACAAACTGATTCATAGGATTGAATTCTGAACATGTGTCCACCCTTGTAACAAGACTACTGATAAACTGACGAGGGCAGGGTCGATAGCTGTGTCACCTTTGTGGATTCCTGAGTTCCAACGGTTTATTCACTCACTTCCTTCATACTCACGGACTGATTCTGCCTCTGTCTCTCTCTGCTTCATCTCTGTCTTTGCTTCTCCCACACTCAATACTCAGGGAAGTTGAGATACAGTCTCAAGACACAAACATCTCACAGATTACCACTCAATTCTCCATGGTTCGACCCCTTGCTGGAGATCAAAGCAATAATAAAGGTTAAGAATCCAATTGTCGGTCCTGGTTACAGGTGCGTGTTTGTGGGTGTGTGTCTGTGAATGTCATAGGCACTGTGGCCGCTCCTGGTGTGCAGGCTGGAAATGTGCAGGCTTGGTACGGATGTTACCTGGCACAGACGGCATCCGTTTAACCATCTTCTCTGATGGTGTGTGTGTGTACACGCGCGCATTTCTGGGTCCTCTAGGAAAATAAAGAAATGGTAAAAATACACGAGTCATTTGTCTTTCACGCCTACAAATGTGTTCTTTTCACTCTTTGCTGCAAAAAAGCGTACTGTGAGCTTACTGAAGCACATTTGGCGCGTCCCAGAAGCTGGGAAGGGTGCGGGAGGTGGGCTTGGCAAAACAACTTCCTAGGTTTACTGTCTGCTGTAAAAGCCAAGTCTTTGCCTGTTGGCTTGGGTGGGATGGGAAGGTGTGAGGTTCGAGCAGTGGGAGAGGGATGAGGAAGTGGGGGAGGGCCAGTGCTTGCTAAATCAGCGTAGGTTCAGAGGGGGCTTTTCCTATCCCTGCATCTCCTCAAATTCCTCATTACCCCGGGGGACACATGGATTGTCCCACCCGGGAGGACAAGTTGCGCGCACACACACACTACCCAGTCCAATGCCTCTGGCAGCTGCTCCTAAACCTAGCCCTCCCTAAAAGCAAGGAAGCATGCGTGGAGGCAACCGAATGAATCTTCGGGGAATTGGATGGACTCAAGGCCCCTGCAATTTCCCTAACCTCCCTACTTAAGGATAAAGCCGGGGGGACTCTAGGGACCCGAACTGAAGTGCAAAAGGACCCATTGCTGGTCCCAGCGGTTTTACTCGCAGGACCTCCCAGGCGGCGCGGCTCGCGGGGGCCCTTGGCCAACCAAGCACAGGGGTTAGCTGAGCCGGGCACGACTACACATCGCCCCGAGGACGCGGCTGGGGACGGACCCCGTCCCGGCCCAGACTCTTCAGGGTGCTTGCCGTCGGCCTCAGCTTGCTGAGAAACCCTCTGCTCGGCCCTCGCCTCCCCGCTGGGTCCCCGGAGCGGACAGGGCATCCCCAGGGGACAGCCGCGTGTCCCGGGCAGCGTGTCGGTGGGAGCGGCGTGGCCGGCGCGCCAGGGGGACGGCCACCCTTGGGTGCCAGTTCCCCTCAGGGTTGCGCCGCGGGAAGGCGGGAGACACAGACGCCCATTCCCCGCCCTCCCGCCACCGCTCCCCGCCTCGCTCCTGGAAGAGCCAGGGATAGGAAATCCAGCGGACGGCCCGCTGCCGCCGAGCCCGGGCGCCTGAGGAGAGCAGGGGCCGGCGGGCCGCCCGCAGCAGCAGCAACAGCCGCCGCCACGGCAGCTCAGCTTCTTCCCTCAAGTGGCCCGCGGTGCTGAGGCAGCTCGGCGCTGCCCCCGCCCACCCCCCGGCTGCCGTCGCACTCCGACCGCCCTCTTGTGCCCGCCCAGCGGCTTCCATCCGTGCGCAGACGACCGGCCGGCTGAGCGCGGGCCAGCGTTCTCGAAGGCGCCCGTGCCGGGCTCCCCTCAGCGCCGACCCTGAAGCCGCCGCTTCGAGCTCCACTGCGGACGAATCCCGGGGCTGCGCGCCTCGGTGCGGCGCGGAGGGATACGCCGGCGCCTCCCGCGCGCGCCGCCCCGCCCGGCTGTGCCGCCGCCGCCGCCGCCGCCGCCTGGATATAGTGCGGCACGGAGCGGAGCTTGCAGTCACTTTGCGAGGAGGAGCGCGCGGGCTGCGGGCGCCGGGGCACCCCGGGAGCGGCTGTGGCTGAGGCGGCCGCGACGAGCCGAAGCTTCGCCCCGACTCTCTCTCAAGGGCTGGACTTAATAACTTTGGAACTGTCCGCCAGTGTCACGTCCTGAACATGAGCCTCCTCCTCTCCTTCTACCTGCTCGGGTTGCTCGTCAGTAGCGGGCAAGGTAGGAGTGTGGCGCTTTATTGCATTCACTTGCCCTCCCCCTTTCCACCTAACCCGGAGCGTGCTGCCGGGGGGCGGGGAGGGGGGCACGGGAAAGAATGAAATGATAGAACTAAAGTTACCGTGGTCGCGGTTGTTGTTGCTCCTTAATTTTGTTCTTTTTTCGTGAGGTGAAAATGAAATTGTGTTTGTGGAGACCCTTCAGTTGGAAAGGGGAAAATCTAGAATTGGAGATGTGTACTACTGACTAGAGCATCTAGGCAAGCTGTTTCTTTTGCTGGGCTTTGGGTTTTCTCTGTTCTTAAAAAAAAAAAATAGATGAGTGTTGGTGTGTGCATTGGCAGTTTAATATCTGAGGCTGCGAGTGGAAAGGCAAGATTGTGTTTTACAGAAACAGAAAAAAAAAAAACTATCAGCGTTAAACTCGCCTGTAAAATACCCGTGTGTACAAGAAATTCAATTCTTAGCGACTCTTTCCCCCCACCACCCTTCCCCAAGCCCCAATCCCCGATTGTGAAGTGAAACGATGGCTTGTGTTTGTTGGAAACTAAGAGAGGGTCCATAGATATTGCGTGTAAGAAAGCAAATGGATAAAACTAGGGATGTGTTGCAGTCATTCATTTTGACCCCCCACCCCCATTCCCTTGTTAATACAGGGAGGTCGAAGTATTTTGTAACCTTACATTGTAATTACACCTGTATGGGATGGGGGGGTGGTTTAGAGAAATGTTGAGAGCTATTATCTTTATATATATATGTATATATATCTACATATATTTTTAATTGCCTGGTAGAACAACCTGATAGAGAATTTGTGGAAGCTTCTTCTGTTGATCTGTATACAGGTACACAGGAATGTATCTTGGGTTTTTTTCAGATGTATACAATCACATAAAATATATTTAAAATAAATATAAGCATTTTCAACTGTCCAGACAAGTTTGGACATTTAATTGAGAAATATAATGCTGAAGCATGCATTAGTACAAGTGTTTACAAAATATGACACTAATTATGTGAAGGATATAATCGTAGATAGTGTTATAATATTAGTATGACATTAAAGTCTTTTTTGTTTGTTCTTGGGAAAAATAATAGGTTACCAGGCAAGTTAAAATATTCCCCCGTATTGAAATTTGAACATTTTGTTATCCTCTTCCGTGTTGCTCGTGTCGTCCAGCAGGGGGTGGTAGAACTCCATGTTAAGCCCCCAAATGCTGCTTCTGTTCTTCCAGGCAGAGTCCTCTCATTCTTCAGCAGGGCTTGACATTTTGGATGGGAAGCCTTCCTTTCTCTGCTGTACTCCCCCCCAAAGCTACAGTGCTAGGGACTGATGAAACACGATTAAATACCGATTTTAGGTGCAGAAATCAGGATGCAAAAGCTGGATTCCACTCTAGCTTGTAAAGCGTCTTTGTAAGATGCTGCTCATTTTCCCTGAACAACAACAGGGTGTGCAATATTTCAGTCTGAGCAAAATTGAAGATACGTTCATCTGGAGCTAATATTAGCTTCATCAGTTGGTTCAGTCACTTCTACAGCGAAGATCAACCTAGACTTATGCCCTGCAGATACACTGCTTTAATTTTTAGAGACCCAAGGAGTGTGCTTAACTCTTTATTTATAATGTAGACTGGGCTCTCTGAACACTAAGAATAAGAGCTAGACAATTGCAGCTCAATGCAACTGCAATTAAATAGATGGAGATAGATGGAGAAGGGCAAGGGAAAAACTGAAAGCAAGTTTATGCACATTTGTGATTGCATCGTGAGTGGTTTGGAGGAGAAAAAATGTCACATTTGTATAGTCTGAATTTATCATGACCAACATTAAGTGTGCTGGAATTTGGGGACACAGGGAATTCTAGGAATTTTTTAAATGTCTAGATCAGAACGGAACATACAAGCATGTTGCTTTGGTCGGTATATACAGTTTGAAATTGTAATTCAACTAATTTGTAATTTGGAGGTAGTTGCAAGGTAGTTGAAGAGGCTCTGAGCTTGAAACATGCCTGAGGGGAGCCAGCATTCATTGCAAAGAAATGCTTAAGGAGAGCTTTACTGGATAGAATATTGTTATCTAGTACAATTGCAAAATGCTTGGCAGTCTGAGAGGTGTGGATGCATATCAGAGGGACCCAGCTTTTGTGAAAGAAGCATGCATACATCTGTGTTTTGTGTTCTAATGAAGTCAGAGATGCTTAGGAAGAGATGTCCTCCTCCGATTCCTGTGTACTAGTGTTTTGTTCTCTAATTGGGATGCAGCAGCAAGTACCAGATATACCACTGAGAGCTGTTGAAAAAATGGACCTACTGTAACTCATCATTTTGTTTATTCTTTTGTAAATAGGGCCATGGAAACGCTGCCAGTCAGTGATCCCTGGGCTAGCCTTAGAAATACTAAAATCTCAGCTCGCTGATTTATGTTTTCAACAATGTACTCGCAGGAGATTTTATGAAGCATGATTGAAGCTATTGCTTTGGGAAGTGGTGAACAGTTAGACTGGGGAAAGGCAACAATGATGCATTCCCCTTTAAGTAGTTAAAACGTGTTGAACCACAGTGGTTGAATAGGAGAAAATGACACAAGTGAATCAACTAACGTAAGTGGATGCCAGTATCATCCACTAATGAGGCCTGATAGTTCTGGTCCCAACTTTCCACACAGTGTATTGTTGTGCTGTGGTGAGAGCCCACCTTTCTATAGCTGTGATATTCCTTAACAAAATCTCTCAGCTCTACTGCAATGTTGTCTTGTGAAATAGAATTAGAATTGTAATTATCAAGTCTGGATTTATTTGTCAGTGGAAGAGAAACTATAATTTTGCAACATTTGCATTTTTTTTAATTCAAAAGTTGCTCACAACCTCTGCCATGTATTTCAAATGATAATTAGTAACAGGTATCTTTGTGAATTTCTGACAAGTCAAATTCTCTGGTTGTAGTAGGTATGTGTTGCTTTCCTGAAATACTTTAATCCATAAATTTTTTTCTTTTAATTTCTTTTCTAAATTGATCAAGTCTGATTATTAAACATCTGCTGCTTGACGGTCACACATATGAAATGGCACTGCTGTATGTATGAAGACATAAGGTAAAGAGTGCCATTCATCTGTCCTGTGATCCATTACACAGAACACTTACTTAAGCCAGAATCATAGAGGAGGGGGTGTGGATTGCCCAATTAATTAGTTAAACAAGGCATCTGCTTGCAGTTATTCTTTCTGGCGAAGTGCTACTAAGTCATTGTTCATTAGAGAAAAGTACCTTCTAAGAATAGAGCCCAGGTACCTGCTGTCTACCAGTTCGAGGTCTGTAGGAGGGATCTGTGCACGCTCTTCAGTCCAGGCTGGTGCACAGTTCATTAGAGCCTCGCTCAGATCTTGTTTCTGTCTACCCTGCCCTCATTCTTTGATGCTGGCTTCTTTGTGTAAGCTTTCTATTCAATCTACTGCATAGGCATTTGGATTTAGAGCGTAGTGGCAATGTAAATTAATATCGTCAGTGTCATTGAATGACCTGGGAGGTTTTCGTCCTTGTTCTGTGTCAAAAAGCAGAGCGTTTTTTGCTCGTGACTTTGTAATGCAGAATCGGAGCCCACAGAGCAGCAAAGGAAGTTGGTGGATCCCCAGTGTCTGATGAGTCTTTTCAGTGACACGAGTTGGAGTGCAGTGGGGGATGGGGGGAGAAGCTAATGTATTTCCTGAGGTACTAGCCTAGAAGGGAAGGGATTCATGAATGAAAAGAACCTCATTCAGTGTAACAGGAAAGTGAGACTTGGTGTGGTTTTTGTTAATAAGGTGAGCTGCTTGCAAACATACAGCTAGTTTGTTATGGGACTGCAAAATGAGCTGCGGACTTTGAGGTAGCTAGCAAGCTGAACAGTGTCATTCCTTTCTGCCTGTTTCGCTGTGCTACAGCAGTGCAAACAGAAAGAGCCTCGACAGTCAGAAGGCTCTGGAGCTAGTCCTGCTGCTTTCCCTGGCTTCTGACATTTAGGAAATCGTTTTAACTTCTCTGCTTTCAGGGTCATCTCTCACAGCCATGAACACGGAGAGCATGAAGGAAAATGTGTAATAAGTGGGAGAGAGACACTAGTTTGCTTTTGCTTTGTGATCCAAAATAAAATTAACCCTCTGGGTGTTGATGTATGTAAAATTAATTTGATAATTTGAAGATTCTGCTGAAGTTAATATTTTTTGGTTTATTGACCTCTGTTCTAAATTTCGTTATGTCCTTTATCTATTTCCAGTTATATTAAAGATAGATCTTTTTAGAAGATAACAAATTTAATTTTACAAATTATAAGATATGAAAATATTTTAAGGTACAGTCAGTGCTTTTATGCTCTTATATGTAATATAACTAAACTTAGAGTTAAGCTGTCTTTAATTATTCAACAAATAAAAGTGCTTATGTGTGTCACTCTCTTAAATATTTTAGTAACTTTTGACTCTTTGCAATTGTAATAGTATTAATCTCAAATGACTCTCAACATATTTTCTAGTTTGATATGTTCACATACGCCACTAAGAATTGATCAAATCCCTGAAGATATTTTAGAAAGCTATGATGTAATCATGAGGCAGGCTTGCCTGAATTTAAACAGTAAAGATAAATTGTGGGGAAATTTGACAATATTTATAAGCACAGGAATCACAGAATAAGATCTTGAGGAATTTCAGGTCAAAGATTCAAAATTTTCATGGTTTTGTTTTCTTTATTAACACAGAAAAATGGTGAAAGTATTGGATTTGCAAAACATCTCAACTGCTGAGCGGTTCTTAGCCTCTTGGAACAACTATTTGGTCGTTTGAAACAAAGCAAAACAATATTTTTTTAGTTAACCTTGATGTTCATTCAGGAGGAGCACTTGTGATAGCATCCATCGTGTGGGTACTGTGAAAAATAACCCTACTCCAGCGAGTACTGTCAGTGTTTTAGTACATAGAGACAGATTTATCCAACGTTTAAAAAAATCTTGTTTATTCAGTTTTTAAAA